ATAATGAGAGTTTTGTGCTTTTTTTTTTCTTGTCTTTTGAGACCAGTATCAACTTCAGTATTAGTTGGACATACTGTGGATCGTTTTATTGCAAGAGATGACGTTCATACCAGATTTTGGACTGAACGTGAATAGCGTTATGACGTCTGTTGTACTGTTCATGATGTACATCCTGAAATTGAAATTTATTATTTTATTCGTGATCATTTTGAATGATTGAATTAAATGTTTTCCATTTGTTTCTCATTAATACATACTTCCCAGAGACCTATCAATCACGCTATGTATTTTTGAAAGCCCTGTATTATGGTTCGCATTCTCACCTGTTTTCTGAAAAATAGATCATAAGATCCGAAATTAATCTCTATTTTATTTTTGTTTCTCCCTTTTTAATCTTGCCCATACTCCCCTTAAGACAGTAGTATGCTGCGAATAACTGTTTAAAGATCCTGGTTTGGAGAGAAATGAAACTAAAAATAGAATTAAATTAAAAAAAAAGAGTCTAATATAGTAGATTCTTTGTGCTTTTGAAATTACAGAATATGTTCCATATGCAATTTTTAGCTTGAACTATAAAATCATTTTTGGTTTTGTTATATTATAAAATGCATGTTCTTAATATCTCTACACATTTTCTTAATAAAATGCAACTTAATTTTGTCAAAGATACCTTAATTCAGGAAAATAGAGAAAGGTATCATAGTTACAAACTATGTAATTGAAATACGAGAGTATTAATTTTAATGTTAGGTACTATCCGTAAAAGTGAAGTTTCTAAGTATGTATATATCATTGAATACAAGTTCAAATAGTGGCGCTCTTTAAGTTGAGACTTGTGGCATTGTGCCTGAATCAGGATAGGTAGTACTATCTAGGCTAAATATCATCAGTGTACATATGTGTCAGTTTGCCTTACAGTTCAACTAAAGACGTTCAGCTAACCCACGAGATGACTGCTCTGCCCAGACTGTCAAACCAAGTATGACGAGAGTGTGCCCCTTAAGTACTCAAATGCCGGTTCAAAACGCTGGCCTCTCCCTTCTACATATAGTTATGTAATAGTTACCTGAACTGAAACAAAAAAAAAAAAAAAAAAAAAAAAAAAAAAAAAAAAAAAAAAAAAAAAGAGATTCTTCACTACAAACAACATGCCTCCGAAAGACCACTGTTCAAAAGGACCATGACTGGCACAGATCTAGATGGTTTTGCCTATGTTGGGAAATTAGTGATAGTCTCTTTAGTGGATGACGAGACCTAGTTACGGCTTCTGTTAGTTGTCTCCGAATGCTATTTCTTAAAGCTGCAGAATATGTAAACAAGTATATTCTTTGAAAGGATAATAGCAACGTCCCTCTTGCATGGCTGTTCTCTTGATTGTGAACTTCTGTTAAGGATTTTGTGTCTGAGGCACTGTAAGACTCTGCATTAGTTATAGGAGCCATTATGATCGATTCACTAAAGACAAAATAGAAGAATATTACTCTGATAAAGCTTGATCATTCTGGCATTAAGAGGACTATGATACGGTTAGTAGTAAAACCAGGTAACTAACTGTTCGTAGCACATAAGATAAATGTTCGTAGTATTCGCCTGTTGTAGAAACTGTATTGCACCAGATGGCGCTGTGTGCGCTTGAATTCTTCGGACTAGTGCAGAACCTTGATGATTGCGAAAGATGTAACATCAACGTGAAACTTTAACTAAAGCTTATATATGCTTCTCTTTATTGTAAATGTATTTAATTGTGTTGTCAATAAAATATGGAGAAAATAATAAAAGGCGAGAATGCGTCTGACAGGTAAGTGAGATTTCTTTATCCCCATTGAATCTAACTGCCAAAACTGCGTTAGTTTTTCATTTAATGCGGCGCAACATTCAATTTTCATAATAGAAATATCCCAATTCGCATTTAAATCTGATGGAGGCATTCGACTTCCAAACAACAACAACCCTTCCAAACAGCGATTAAATAAATCTTTGTATTTGATTGATACTCTATCCTGGTTCGATCCCCAGTTTCGGCACCAAAAAGATTTGTAAATACGCATATACATTCTTTGTCGCTAAAACTCAATTCAAATCAAAATATAAAGAAATCTCACTTACCTGTCAGACGCATTCTCGCCTTTTATTATTTTCTTCATATTTTATTGACGACACAATTAAATACATTTACAACAAAGAGAGGCACATATAAACTTTAGTTAATGTTTCGCGTTGGTGTTACATCTTTCGCAATCATCAAGGTTCTGCACTAGTCTGAAGAATTCAAGCGCACACAGCGCCATCTGGTGCAATACAGTTTCTACACCTGTCTTTGAGATGTCATATATATTTCAAAGACATTTTTGTGATCAGTTTGAAGTACTAAAACAGAAAATAAACTGCGTGTGAGTGACAGCAATGTTCCATTAAAATGCTGCGTGATGTTCCCTTCTCATCCGCACTAAATGAACATTATCACATTATTGAAATTGATTAAAATTATTTGTATACGTTTTCAAACGACATTTGCATGCTACATTGCACTTTGTGTGAATTTTGAGGCTACAATTCCTGTTCCTGTGGATGCGTATATTTTTATAGATGATCCTGGTTTTCTTTCTTGTTGACTCCATTGGCCTTGCATCTCCTATAACTTAACTTCCGATGATACAGCTTATCCCAACTTTGTCTTTGCCATTCCCTTTCAATATTTCAGTATCGTGGATTTCCTTCCAATTTAAGAAACAATATACTGCAAACATGTTATATAGTTTTTGTGCTTATTGCAGGAAGTTTTAGAATATTATTATTTTGGGTTTTATTTATTTATTTATTTTGGGTAATAGATTAAGTTATTTGGTGTAATTTAATATGATTTTTAGATTGAATTAGAAGCTTTCCCCCATAAATTAACAGAAACTGCTTCTTTTCTCTACGCCACTTTGGCGGATGAAAGGTTACACAAAAATGTTTTCCATTTGCAAAAACCACGGAAACCTGTGTTTACTAACATGATTCCAAAATTAATTATGTAATCAAATATTGTACATCAACTTATAAGACACAAATTTATTACTTATTTTTAAGTAAAATATGAACGATTAAATATTTTTTTAGTCCACGATAGAATTAATCTTCGAAATACTTAATCATAAATTTTGTTTATTGCAAATATTATGCAGTAAGTCATATGAATTTGCTTTGAAGGAAATACTTCAAAGCATCAAATTTTCTGGGTTTTGAAAGGATTAAGGTTTTAAGTATTATCTTTTGTATAAGGTTATGAAATTTTTTTATTTAAATTAATGCATAAAGTTTGACTTTGCTGAAAATATTCATATAATTTTCTACACTGATCAGCCAATTAACGGTTAGAAATAAACTACGAAAAAGAGTTTATCCTATTTGAATATTATACGATATTTGAATAATACATGTGCGAATTTCTTTTTTTAGAAGCTGTAGAACTAAAATCTTACATCATTTTATTTAGTTTAAATTAAAAATGCGTTAGTGTTAAATTAGTTAAAATTAAACACTAATATCTTTTCATATTTTTTGCTAAGATGTAAATTGCCAAAAGATTTTAAACTGTCTCAAAAATTTTATAAGACCTAATTTTTTGCAATATTTTAATATCTAGCAGTTTAAAATATGACTTGATGTTACCTATATAAAATAACGCAGTTAAAATTTATACTTAATGTTATTTATGTAAAATAATGTAACGTTACTTATGTAATGCATAACCATTTATTTAACACTTATGTAATATTATTTATTATGTAATTCATAAGGCATACAGAAAATGGTGTAAAATACGTACTTTTACATTACGCCGTATACCTTTACATAACTCGAATTTGTAAATTGCTTACGTGCAACTTCGTAGGAGACTGCAGTTATTATACATATATGATTTAAATAAAAGAAAAAATTAAATTCAAACACCAAAATTTAATTTATGCGCTGTAAGTGGCATTGCATTTATGTCAATATTAATGAAAAGCAAACATAATCAAAGCCACTTCTAATATCACATTCAATTTGGACTAATGAATTGGCCCAAAACTAGCAGTATAGTACAGGAGAACCACATAGAAGAACGAAACACGTTTTCGAAGCATATTAATCGACTTTTGTGAAGATTCAATTCATTTTCCCCTGATGACTTCTGAATTGGAGTTTCAGTAAAAGAAGATTAATTTTTATATTTCTATTTTTTTGTCTTGCATATTTTTTTCCCTTTTGCATTTTTAGTTTTCGAATTTGTACTACTTTGATTCTTTCTTAATTGAATTATTTAGATATTGTGTTAAAACTCTTATACAAGGATTAAATTATTAATAATATTGAGGAATCATTGCTTTGACTGGCTTTGACTCCAATTAACTTTTCTTTAGATGCATTAAGTTTATTTTACTTCAATCCTGCAGCTATAGCGTAGGACTAATACTACAAATTTGTTTTTAGTTTTTACCTCTCTTTTCTATTGAATGTATAATGGATATGTGTTTTCACCTAAATATTTTGATTTAGATTATTTGACGTTGTTTTACATGTAGTATCAGGAATCAGGAAGTTCAAATGTCCTTGTGTTCTAAAAAAAAACATGTCGCTAGTATTTAACCTCTCCTTTTCTTATAAATCTATATCTATATCTATATATATCTATCTATCGATCTATTATATATTATATATCGATATATATATATATATATCTAATATATATATATATATATATATATATCTATATCTATGTAACTATATATATATATATAATTACATTATGTTACATTGTGTAAATTAGCATTATTAAAAGTTTTGCATTTTTCTGATGCTTTAAATTAGTGGTAGTTTTCATGTAAAACATTAAAGTCTTTAATTGAAATCTTACAGGAATTATTTGCATTGACAGTAACGGGTGATGGTTTTCAGGATGTATAAATTAGTTATGTAATCAAATTAATTATGTAATCAAATATTAAAATTAATTAATGTATAAATTAGTGGCAGCAGATTAAAAGTTACCTACCTGCTCACTGACAACCACATCGACACTCAGTTACAAGTGGATATTGCACTTTGAGCCATTCGCAGTTTTTCTTCTCGTCCCAGTTTTGGCAATGCCACCTCAAAAGCACCTTGTCTTCATACTTGTGAGGCTTACACATCATACCTCTGGGGAAAGAACAAGTTGGACGAGGAGCGCATGAATTCTCCAAGAACCATCTTGGCCAAAAGCGAGGTCCTAAGTCTTTCCATTTCTGGAGGAGAGGGCAGTGGCTGTGCAACCACAGCAAGTCACGGAATCTGAAAGAAAGGGTAATTTATTTTTATGTTTTTAAGTAAATTTTCAGTATTTTAATTTTTAAGTTTATTATTTATATATCTTGATATTTGGAGCGAATGCCTAAATAAAATAAGAAAATACGATTTACACGATTTTGAAAGATGTTAAAGCAGAAGATATAAAAGGAAATTGGAGTATTGAAAGTATATTGCAAATTTCTTGAAATAGTACTATTTTTCAAAGACAGCAGCTATTGAATTAGCATATAAATAAGGATTGTATTTATATATTTATATCTAGGGAGTGTTTCTTGCGAATATCTTATGTATGAAGATCAGTTAGTCAAGTTATATTTCAATTTCAATACCCCCAAAGATGTCGCAATTATTTTATCTTATAATAATTAAGATTTTTTAAAATGAAAATTGTTATCTACTGATCGCAGGAGATCTTTTAATCTATGTATTTAGAATCAATGGAAAAATAAGTTTAAATACTTCTGCTTAACTTATGCAATAGCTGAATGAAGTTAAAATATGCAGTCTAATGTACTTCATAATTAAGTAAACGTGTAGGAGCTTAAACTGGACAAGCATTAGATGTTAACAAAAACGTATTATCTAACTTTTGAAGCATAAGCCCAGCTAAGAGGGAAAATTATAATGGATTATATGTGATATTAAAATAACTGGTAGCATTTGTATTTTGAACATGTTTAATATTAACGTAGTAATGCAAATTGAATTTTATTCATTGAAATTTTATTCCAAGGGAATTTGAATATTATTTCTGTTTTGTATAATATCATTAATATTTGATTCATCCTAATATAAATACTGATCCTGATAAGAAACAAGGAAAATGGATTAACTTTAGTTTGTATATGATGAAATTAGGCTAAATTTTAAGTTTCGCAATAGCTTATAATATACGAGCATTAAATATACATAGATAATAATAATTTTAGTTCTTTAACTTCAACTTGTATCTATGCTACGAATGAAAATAACTTTTATTGTCCATGTTATAATACACAAAGTAAGTTTAAACGTTATTTACAGAATTTGAAGAGCGGATATAAGTGTCACAATACAGTTTTCTAACAAAACTCGAAGTTTTCTCAAATAATACCTTTAGAGACATCTTGTTTCTATAGAAAATGCAAGGAAGTGCAGCATAAAGATAATCACAGTATATGAGATGCATTCAGTTGTTATATTATGAAGTGCATGGGACTTCTGTGCTCATGAAAACCAAGCATACTTAAAGCTGATACAAAGGTATCACCTCACTGCTTTTTTTAGAAGTAATTATTCGTACGCTGCCATAGTTTAAGGATTCTACTAAGTTAAGCTTACTGTATAATTTTAAGTTTGCAATATTTTGACTTAAACCTTTTTAAATTTGCCATTTTTAGATTCACTGTGTTTATAACACTGTCCAAATGGATTTCATTGAATGAGTGTTGGCAGATAACGAGTGAATTGTTAGACATGTAAAAAGAATTACAAGGATTTTACAAGTTGACACAATTAAAGAAATTTAAAATCATACCTTCTTCTCATTTTATTGCCAAGCTTCAAGTTTATTCTGTTACCATCGCCTAATTTCACACTTTGTAAATGCAGCCTCTTAATGTGTTTTGGAGGGGTTCCTTGAGGCACCATATGGCCAGATCTTGTTCTTCGCAAACCAAGTTTTATTGTCCCATTGGGAAATAAAGTATATGCTTCGGGCTCCATTTCACTCATTACTTTGGAATCGAAGAATTTGCCCAAAGCATTCCTAAGATTAATCGAATCGGTATCTTCTGGGCCCGGATCATAGCGAGTTCCTTTAGGCTCCACTAGTTCCAGGACTGGCAAAACATGGGAAGCAGTGGGCCTCCTTCCTTTTTTATCAGCATTACAAGTGGAATATAAGAGGATCAAAAATAAACAGCCAATTTTTAAATGATGCTCCATCTGCAAAAATAAATATAAGAAATATAGTTTTTGCATTGCATCTTTTTTACTTTTTCTTTCATGTTATGAGAAAAAAAGGCATAGAAAGAAGGAAATTAAACAATAAAAAAGGCGTAGAAAGAGTGAAAGTTTTTACACATGAATCGTGGCCACATTACAACATTAGTTCTAAGAAGAATTTGCCAGTTATCTGCTTAAAAATCTAAAATGAAATTAAAATGTTTGCTAAAATGCTACCTAGATAGGAGAAAGTTGTGGATTGTATTATAAGTATTCGTTAACTAAGCTAAAATGACTGCAGTAAACGCACTGTAGTTATAGCTTGCAGTTTACCGAAAATATGCAAGCAAATAAATCTGAGCGTCTTGAAAATTTATTATTAATAAAATGCATTTTAATTTCAAAACTATGTTCTATATTTTTATACTTCTGGCATTTTTTTTTTCATTCAAATTTCTCAAGACAGTACTTTGAAATCTGATGTTAATTTATTTAAGAATTTTATGGATTAAATATAATCAAAAGAGGCTCCAAAATGCGTTCATTTCTGGAAATGACAGGTAGGACATTTCATATGCAATTCTTATATATCCTTTGTGAGTGCTTTATTTTTAAATATTTCGAGTATATAATTTTGTTGGCTTAACTTTTGTTGCATGACCCGAAAACTAAAGCAGATGTAAGTCATCATGACTGGTGCATGATGTATATTTGTTGATGAGATAGATAGTAGGCACCTGTGGTGACATTGAGACGTTTAACCGATTTCCGTTGAAGACATGCGGAGTGAAGGAATTCAACTGTTCCCTACCCTGGAGTTTCGACAGGATTCTATGCCCGGCGGAATTTAATTATATCTAGTCTACATCTATATTGGGTTTAAAATTGCCTACTCCTTACGTTATTAAAATTCTGGTCTTTCGGAAAAGTATAGCCTAAGATAATCGTTACGTTATTTTTGTTTTAATATATTATTCTGCATTGAATTCCATAAAGAGCATGAGGCATCATGTAAAAACTTATGTGATTATTTTCCTTGAATGTTAAAAAAACTAACAAAATCTGAGGGATTTTTTATTAAAATAAATTGCTGAATTTTAATTTTCATTATTCATATTGTTTTTTATGAACGAATAATTATCATCTTAATTTTTTTTAATCTGAAATTTAGATGTAGTTTGAGAAATCTCTAAATTTGGCTTCAAATTTTAAATAAAGGAAGTTGAAAATGTTGTGGCAATCTAATGTTCGACTGCGTGCGCAGCCAATCCACGTCATGTGGTTTATGTAAAAACTGTTAGCGCGGCAGTGAACTCACTCACTTCGCCCTTAGCTTCAGCATAGGATGTTTTGAATTTTAGTTTACTGGTTTTGTTATTTCGTCATGTTATTTCAGTTGTGTTTAAAGTTATGGTGTTTGTGAATAAAAGTTATGTTTAAAGAAAACGAGTCAATTCAAGGATATACACCAAGCACATAACCACTATGCCACCATAAAATGGTGACCCGGCGTCTACGACCATAAAATGGCGATCCGGCTACTCTCATGAAGCTTATACTGGTTGTTCGTTCAAGAGCTTGGTTCCAGAACTTTTGTGTTTTTTCCCTTCAGCCGCTGACGTGGAGGAAACAGCAGCTGTGAAGATTCCAATTTACAGTCCGATTGACCCGGCATTGTGGTTTGCTATGTGTTAAGCAACTTTTGCTTTAGCTGCACCCAAGCCTATCACGGATTCCAAGACGAAATTTAACTACTGCGTTGCTCATTTGACGCCGGAAATTGCTGCGTTGGTTAGAGATATCATTCTCCGGGAACGTACAGATTCTTCTTACGAAGACCTCAAAGCTGCTATTACGGAACGCTGTGGTGAAAGCAGTACGAGTGAAATACGGAAATTACTCACCGGCGAGCAACTTGGACATAGAAAGCCATTAGAACTTCTACGTGTAATGACTAGGAGGGCTGACAAATACAATGTGCCTGACTCTTTGTTACTGGAATTATTCATGCATCAGATGCCGCCAAATGTTCAGTCTATTCTAGCGTCGGTTGAGCCGCTCGATTCATCGAAAGCTGCAAGTATCGCGGATAGAATATTGTTACACCCGCTCAGGTAAGCGAAGTTTCTTCTCGTGTACCTCTCAATGTCTCTGAGAATTTTAAATTGGATTCGCTGCTGGAGGAAGTGTGCAAATTGCGTAGCGATGTTTTGTCTCTACGACGATCACGCAATACTTCCAGAAATCACTATAACAGGAAGCGAAGCCCTTCAGCTAAAGCTGCTTCGAACTGTTCCTATTATTGGTATCATCATAAATATAGTGACAAAGCTAAAAAGTGTGTTCCACCATGTACAATCCAGGGAAACGTACTAGGGAAAGTGTAGTGGCGACATGCGCTTTACCCTCTGAATCTCGTCGCCTTTTCATTAGAGACAGGAAATCGAATAGAATATTTTTGTGCGACAATAGCTCATACGTCAGTCTTCTTTCAGCAACAAGACAGGAAGCGCGCCAAACACCTATCATGATGTTTTCTGCAGCAAATGGTACACCTATTCCAGTTTATGGACGAAAGCGTTAAGTATTGACCTTGGACTTCGTCGTAATTTTAATTTTACTTTTTATGTGTGTAAAGTGTCAACAAATATTATTGGATCTGATTTCTTGCATTATTTTGATTTATTACCTGATTTAAGGAACAAAAAACTTTGTTGATTTAAAAACTCATTTAAAAATTAAATTGCAGTGTAATTAACACACATTTATACCTTTCTGTTAAAGCAATTATTAACAAAATTGTATTTATGATAAATTACTGTCTAACTATCCTTCACTGTCAAAGCTTCCTGATCTCAATAAGACTGTTAAGCGTAATACTATGCATTTCATTGAAACCATTGGTCCTCCTGTTTCATGTAAGCCAAGGAGATTAGCTCCAAATAGATTAAAAATTGCTAAGCATGAAATTCAGAAAATGATCAATTTAGGTCACATGCGACCCTCCAAAAGTAATTACTCCTCTCCTCTTCACATGGTGTCAAAAAAGGGCCCAAACGAATTGAGACCTGTGGGAGATTTTCGGAAGTTAAACCCTCAGACAGTGAAGGATAAGTATCCTATTCCCAATATTTGCGATTTTAACAGCGGAGTTACATGGAACAAAGGTATTTTCTGGATCAGATTTAGTTAAAGCATATCACCAAATTCCAATTAATCCCTCTGAAAACCTTAAAACGGCTATTGCCACTCCTTTTGGACTTTTTGAGAGCACAAGAATGCAATTTGGGTTATGCAATGCAGCTGCAACCTTTCAATGCTTTATTAATGAAGTAACTCGCGAGCTGCCAGGAGTATTTGCTTTTGTCGACGATATATTGATAGCGTCAAGAGACGAAAATGAGCATTTGATACACTTAAAAGCCCTTTTTGAAAGATTAAGTAATTATGGGTTTGTATCTGAACAGGGTTTAAAACCTTTACCCGAGAGGGTAGAAGCTATTCAAAAATTTCCTAAATCAAACACATTAACTCAGTTAAGGAAATTTCTTGGCATATTTAATTTTTACAGAAGTTTTGTCCCAAGAGCTTCACATGTTTTAGCTCCCTTGAATAGGTTACTGGAAGGCCGCATTAATAAAAGGAAACCTTCACAACCAAGCAAAACAAAAGAAAATACTCTCGAATGGGACGACGAAGTCGAGAAAGAATTCGAAAATGCAAAAAAGGCAATTGCTGAGGCAACCCTTCTCAAACACCCTATTCCTGGTGCAACTTTGAAACTTTGTACTGATGCATCGCACGTTGCGGTTGGTAGCTCATTAATACACCTGCATAATTCAGTTTGGGAACCCATTGCGTTTCTATCCGTTAAACTCGGCAAAAGTCAAAGGAAATGGTCAACTTATGATCGAGAACTATTGGCAATTTATTTGTCTATTAGGAAGTTTCGGCACATTGCTTGAAGGCAAGGTCTTTACAATCTACACTGACCAAAAGCCCTTAATATATGCTTTTAAGCAGAAGTCGAAAAGTGTTCTCCACGACAACTTCGTTATCTTGATTTTATTAGCCAATTTTCCACTGACATACGATACATCAAAGGTCGTGACAATATCGTTGCTGATGCCTTATCTAGGGTAGAAATAGATGCAGTATCTGATAATCAATACATTGATTATAAAAAGTTATCCGAAGCACAAATTCAGGACTTTGAAATTCAAAATCACTTATCTCAATCTTCGCCAGTTTTAAAACTTGAGAAACATTACTTTCCTTTAGAAGATGTTACTCTTTACTGTAATATGGACACAGGTATACCTCAACTGTTCATACCTGAATCTTTTCGCTCTAAAATATTTCAGAAGATTCACTGTCTTTCTCATGCTGGTATTTCAACTTCAACAAAATTAATTACTAAGCGCTATTTTTGGCCTAATATGAAAAAATTTATTAAAACTGCAGTTTAGTCATGTCTACGGTGCCAACGTTCTAAAATTCATAGGCATATGAAATCATCGTTGAGTACCTTTTCCTTGTCTGATGAAAGATTTGAACATATCCATATTGATTTAATAGGTCCTCTTCCACCGTCTGAAGGTAACCGTTATTGCATGACAATTATTGACAGGTTTACCAGATGGCCAGATGGTCTACTGTCGACATGTCAGCTCAGACGACTTGCAAAGTATTAGTGCATAACTGGATAGCAAGATTTGGCTGCCAGGTATCAATAACAACTGATCAAGGCCGAAATTTTGAATCTCGCTTATTTAAGGATTTAATGAAAATTTTGGGTACACATCGCATTAGAACTACTGCTTATCATCCTCAGTCCAATGGACTGATTGAGAGATTTCATAGGCAACTTGAAAGTTCAATAATGGCTCATAACAACCCAAAATGGACTGAAATTCTGCCTATTGTTCTGTTGGGTATTAGATCTGCGTAATTTTTGTTGTTAAGTGATGCGCGTTGCTGGATGCTGCAACCAAGAAAACATTAATTAAATTTTTGGTCTTTCTGTAGTTTCAATAGGTCTTTCGTTTTTAGGTTCTTCAGTTCTCTCTCAAATTTCATGTGGGGAATATAATTGCTCTGTAGTGATGAGAGTCTAATATTTCCAAAATCTTCAAAGGAATTGCTAATTAAAGCTACTCGGCTTGAAATTTAAAGTTACGGTTATAAATCGTATTTAAAAAATTTAGAAAATATATTTTATTCACGAATGAATTTTGTTAAGCTTATCATTTTAGAAAATTAGAAGCGTATTTGACCTTTGGAGCTAATTTGCGTTTCTAGTTAAACATTATCTCTCTGTACGTATTATTGATATATCTGCTTATAAAAGTAGTTATGAAAGAACTTGGATAACATCAGTTGGATAAAGTTAAGTTTCTGAATTTCACAGGTTAATTGAATGTCAGTTATCAGGGTGTAGTTCAAAAATACAATTGTAACTTCAGTTTTAATCTGCAGAAAATCGTCGAAGTTGTTAAGGGAGACATTTCCAAATACAGTTTTGAATATTATTAAAATCACAGAAAAAGTTATAAATAAGGTATTTTCTCCTTTTCTGCTTACCGTCATGGTGTAATTGAAAGCACAATTGACGCATATTCGAGAAGTTCAGAATTCGAGTCCCTGCGAGGGCATTGCATATTTTTCATGTTTGTGCATCGATAAACCTAATGACTCTACGAAGTATTTTTACTGCTTTAAAATATTATTATAAAATAATAAACTTGTCAAGAATTCTAGCTAAAAAATGTATAATTACAGTCGATTTTCATTATAAAATGTTGGAATATATGAACTTTCGTTCATAAAAAAGATAAATAAAATTTGGCTGGAACAGTTTTAAAATAAGTGATATAGTACGTTTATAACAAGATAAGATAAGTATTAGGACTATTAGGAACTTTTCCTCATTCCGTCTCCACTTCGAAGGAGAGCATTCTGGGGCACAAGTCCCAGAGTCTCCCACTCTTTCTTCCTTACCACCAGCCCATTCTATAATACTTTCGGCTCACCGTAGATTTTCGATACCCCCATTGCGGCACGCTTACGAATATCGATACCTTCTTTGGGATTCTAGCCTGTGCCCTTCAGTACAGCAGTCAGTGTCTCTATCCACTATCTCGCCTGAGCAGCAGCTGGATGTTTAGAGGCATGGATCCTTAGTTTTCGTTCTTCCTGCGTTTTGTTTCTGGCAGCTTAGTGGTTTGGCTACAAAGGCCCATGTATAAAGTGAATGTGAAGAAATATTTTATGAAATCTTTCGTGAAGGCATGCTACATAAAGCACATGTCGTTAGAGTGCTTTGTTATAATACATAATCTAATATAACTTAGGCTCATATCACACAGATTTTGGAAATGTTTACTAGTAATCTGAATTGCAAAGTGATGGTTATATTTAGTATTTACATCTTGCTGTGAGGCTAAATTAAATATATTACATGCTTTCTTTTCAGATCAATTGCTAATGTACAAAACGTTTTGAGACAATATTGTAAGTATTACTTTTTATTTATGAATTGTTTTCAAACTGTTTTCACATTCAGACTGAAAATTTTCTAAAACTGTTCAAATATCCATTTTCCTGGTTAATAATCTCAATTTCACTTTATTTATTCAAAGTTTTATTATTCAGAAATGTTTTCTACTTGAAAAAAATTAAATGTAAAGCTAAAGTATTTTCTTTCCAGTAAACTGGTGGCAAAATTTACTGAAGACATCGAACCATATATTGGAAGAAATTCAAAGTGAAACAGCATCAAAATTGGAAAAGTTATCAATATCTTGTAATGCATTCGGAATAGAAGAATTTGACTTTTTTTTACATAATGTCATTATAGCTGTGCGCCATTTTAACTGTTGTTTCCTATAAAAATGTAAATTGCGAGTCAAAGTCATAATTAAGTGAAATCACTAATTTATTTTTACTAATTGCATTACTTCGTCCGATACATATACATATATGCATCGGACAAAATAATGGAATTATAAAGCTTTGATAATCCAGTTATTTGTAATAGGAATCTTAACTTGGGCAGATTAACAAAACAATTAAATTTAATTCTTTAGAGAATAATGATGACTTCAGTAGATGCACTTAATATGCACACATTTGGTGAAAGATTCTGCGCTTAATGAGTATTCTACCTTCTTTAACACAACAAACTTTTAATTGCACTATCACTATTACACATAAAAGTGTTTTCCGTGTTCTAAGCTTTCATTGTTTAATGTCTAGCATTATTAATCCAGATTAGTACAACCTATTAGGAAATTTCTTTCCGCTTGATTTGCATTAATAGAGTTTCATTATGACATATTCCCGTCTTCTTGGTTATACCTCGGAAAATAAAAATACTGAGATAAAAAGGTTCAGATAAAGAAAAGAATTGTAAAACAGGAACGTTTAGAATCAGGGGCAAAGTATATTTTTAAGTTACATGCAGACATAAAACGTAATAACACTTAAGAAGAAAATGTTTGAGAAATGCTTCTTACAAATTCAAAACTTTCTTTTATATCAACTATGTTGAAGAATTTCACCTGTTTCCCGCACGTGCTAAAGTTGTCTTACGTAACTTACTTTTGTGATGCAAATTGGAGTAACTTATGCAACGAATGGTAATATATAGTAAGAAGTATATTTAATTATCGTAATCAATTTAAATCTAAAGGGAAAATTCAGAATTCAGAGTTGAAAGTCGAAATATTTCAGTGTTCAGTCATTTATGTATAATGTAACTTTCATAAAGTGTCATTTATGTATAAACTTAAAATACATGTACATAAATTACATTAAATAAAATAGACTAATTAATAAAGCGACAATTTTAAAAACCATTACGACATTACAAGTGTACACATTATTAGGACTTTTGGAACAGGAGGCTTGAAAAATTAACTGTACTGTAGTCGGGATTCAAACCATGAGTATTCCAGATCGTAGGTGAATATGTAACCACTTATAACAAGAGCAAAGGTAATTCTCAAAAATTTACTCCAGTTTAAGAACCACTGGGGAGAGGCATGAGAACCAGTCATCTGTATTGAGTCATCCATATCCCAGGCATCCGTATAGCGAGATATCGTTCCCATTTTCTTAGTTTGGTCTCCATTGCAGAAAAACGTTTTGAGGGGCAACAAGAAATGTGAAAATTTAACTATGCCCTCGCCAGATATCGAACCACAGATCTTCCAGTTAAGTATTTTCGGTATGTTAACCACTTAAACCATAACACCACGCTTGAGAAAGTAGTAATTCCGTCCATAGGAAAATGGATGTGTAAAAATTGAAATTTTAAATGTCAAGTTAATACAGATGAAGAATAAAGTTGTATCATTGTTTTATTATTGTATCATTATTTAACATTAAGAAATAAATATTTTGTTTAAAGAAATTAAACATGTTGAACAGAAATTTTCCGAATAAAATGCCATTTTTCTCTCATGTTTGGATTTTTAGCATCCACCTACTATTGTGTTATCGAATAAAATAAGTGTTGCATGCATTAAATACAAACCTTTCTTCATTTGGCATTTAACATAACGTAAATTAGGTGGCATATACTCGTATCGAGACCGAATTCTAAGATCAGATAACCTTTAGCATAGTGCGCTGATGTACGACGAGAAGCCATGCGCCTAGTTGACTTATGCATAGGTGGCATACATAGAGACCGAATTCTTAGTAATGAAAGACAACTTCTAGCGTAGTGTGTTAACCTACTACAGGGATCCATACACTTAGGCGACATATTCATATGGTGAATGGATTTTGTATCTTTAAGTGTGCACTGTTATAGGATCCAGATTACAAAATATTAAATCAGATTCCTTGAGATTTGTCTTAGGAAGGTTATAGATAACCTTTTTATTAAATCTCTACAGTACCACTTGTGCGTACAAATAAGACAGCCATTTATGGATAGTAAAAGTTGAAATTTCAAATTAAACTATCGTATCGTATTGAAGACTGCTCAGATTTGCCTGGTTAAGCTTGAGCCAATATTTTTGTGGCTTATTTATAACGTCGGCTGGCAAAATTGCAAAGTCGGAATGCTCACTGACTAAGCTGAACGACAGAACGTAAACTGCAGACTACATTACCAAGAGGTCAATATTTCAAACATTCAAAACTTTTCGACTTAAATATTATACCATTTAATTTGAATTATGATGAAGACTACGGAAAAGAAGATATAGTCTAGGCTTTAAATCATAATAATTCATTGATTAGCATAATATAATCTACAGGGTTAGAATCCCCATTTGCTGCGGTCGAATTATTTTGTTGCTAAAAGCTGAGTGTAATACTTATTTAAACTTATGAGCGGCTGAAAACCCGCAAGTACCCAGCAAGTAGCGATGAGTAGTATATGTTGATTTGATCGGAATATTTGGATGTGTTATAATTGACACATGTCTTACCTTTAGTATTTCAGAAAAATGTAGATATGACTTAAATATCTGTCATGGACTAAACACATTTTAGTAAATTTCAGGTTTTATTGAATTTTGAAAAAGCGTTTGGTAAATGTTACTATTTATTTGACAGTTATAACTTCACATTTGATATCAGTTATAGTAGCTCGATGTTTTATGAATTTTAATAATCCCAAAAGTTAAACCGCTATATAAACTAAATAGCGATGTTTTTCTTTTGTCTTATGTTTATGTCAGAAGTAATATTAATTTTTTGTCATGTGATGCATTTAAGGAACAGTTTTGTTTGTTTGTTTACGGGATTATGACAAAGCCTCGAAGGCTATCTGTCTAAAGGAAGGGATGCTTTCGTGGAGGACTTTCCAAGGGAAACTGGCTCGTATATGCATTACACATGAGAAAAACCACAAAAATGCCCATCCTTCGCGGGATTCGAACCTCGCAACCGATCTACCAGTGAGTGTTCAGTGACTTAACCGCTCGGCCGCTGGTAGGCTCAATTAAGGATCAGATATAATGCGCTTGCGCAGAATGCTCATTTGGTATTGAAGGAAGGAAGAACAAATTCATTGTTCCTCTAAATGAAGGAAACTTTTTCTTTTAAAAATAGTACCAAAATATCATTCAAAAGATATAGTACTAGATATATTACTGAATAATTGATTTATCTTTTGATGATATTTTAGTATTATTTTCGTTATTTTGGAACAATAATTTGGCATTTACTATTAATAACTGATCGATTTTATCATGTATAAATTAAATAAAATTATTTTTATAATATAGTATTTTTATCTATATAACCTATTCCATAGTAAATTAAATTTCGTAGAATTTTAGAAATTTATTTGTAAGGTATTTTAACATTTATTATTTATAAACTATTGATCGCAAAACTGCAGTTTTTTGTCATGCAAAGCATATAAGTCAATTCTTCGTCGTTTATAACTTTAGCATTATTCTAGATAAGCTACGTAAGATTTCTAAAATGAATACTTTGTATAAAAAATTCTCTTTTAATGATGAAATTATTGGCACTTTAAATTATGTTGTAAACTGCTTATCTACAGTTTTATTAGCGTTTTTCTTCATTATCTCGCTTTTGAATTCCATGATATTGGAATTAAATGAAATGAAATTTTTTGAAACATATGAAATGTGAATCATAGTTATAATAATTTAATTTCTATTAAATTGCAATCAGATTTTATCTTCGTAACGTGGATATTAAGTGATTATAATTTAGTAGATAATAATTAATTCTAACAATATGCTATGACACTATAAAAATTTAAATCATTTAATAGAAATAAATGTTTTGTTTGTCGATTCACATGGGTAAGAAAAAAAAATTAAAAATTTTAAACTACATGATTAGGGGAATTTTAGAGAAATATTTACAAGACACATTTTAATAAAACTTAATAATGATCATGATTTTATAGTATAACAACCAGCATTGCCGCAGTAATATTAACATAAGCGCACACTCATAAAGTTGTTAGTTATACGTTTTATGCTATTGTACAATGCATGGAGCTCTAACAGATAAAAAATTCGTTCGAACAGTTAGCCTGGGGAAAAGCTTCCGTCATTTAAAGTATTATGATAATACACTTTGACCACATTAACTGAACAAATACTCATGCTCTAAATAAGGTTGCAAACATAAATGCAAAAAAGAAAAATTTCACACTCTTAGTTAAAAAATTGCATGCAATGCCACGGATGCTTTACAATGCAAAATTTGGAGGACAGTATCATATTTTATAAATTTATTAATAAAATGCAAATATTATGCAAAATGACACAAAGAAAGTGAGTGCCGTGGATGCTGTGAAAAGCAAGTGGAAAGTGTGAGGAACATACCTTGCCTCAGAGAACTTTTTTAACTTCCCTTCCACGTAAGGGCTCAGAAGAGGGACCGAGGACAGGAGATGCGATAGAGAAGCTCTACATAAGATGCGGCCGGAGTGAGGATGTTAAAGATGAAGATGATATTCCAGAGGTGCAGTGGAGGGGATGGACAAGTCGACGTTAAGTCTAGACTCCGGGCCCACGGATCAGGAGACAGACGACGGACGCCTCCTCCCCCTCGCCTTTCCATTTTTTTCCCTGATTCCCCGATCCCCAGGGTTCCGCGAGGTCGCGACCCAAGAAAAAAATGGGGGAAAAGCGATTCGTGGAGAAGTTAGAGCTCCGGTAAACAATGACATGCGCGATGAAGGTTACGTCCAGCCGCATGTTGTTTGTCCTCATCTTTTAGTTCCGTTTGTTATTTGGCGCTTTTTCCTCCCCGGTATTGATCTGTAAGCCTATTGGCTGCTTTTCAATTCGTTTAGAACACAGGAAATCTGCTTGTTGATACAGGAGAGATGTTTTATCAAGTTTGTGTAAGAGAAAAGTTATGTAAACTACTAAAACTTTTGCAGATGGAAGTGAAGATTGCTTAATATATTTCTTATAGATTCCTTTAATTAGCAAAAAGAAATTTTCAAACTTTTGAAACTACGACTTTCAGAGTATTTCTAGATTTTGAAAATATTATTTTATATCTGAAACTGCACACTGAGTGATTTCAACTGTAAAAATATTCTGCGTATTAGAAATCGATTATAAAAATCATCTAACTTATAATGAATTATTAAGTTATCAAATACTGTTCGTATTAAATGTTTTCTAAGTTATTAGTGAACAAACATTTTGGAAGAAAAAGCTGAAAAGCTGTTGGTATAATTTCGTTATAAAAATCTTTATATAAAACTGTTATGTAGGTTTGATTCTCAAGGTATTTTTAACACTTTGCTAGGAATTTAATCTGGCCTGTAGAAGAAATAAAAGGTAAATTTCATAATATGCAAGCAATTCGCTTGAAAAAAGTTATTCAACTGTATAAAACAATATTTTCAAAATCTAGAAATACTCTGAAAGTCGTAGTTTCAAAAATTTGAAAATTTAGAATTCCCATTTAGTATAGAAATAGGAATTATTATTAAGTTAAAAAATAATTTTTAAATCCCTAAATGCTTATATTACACTCATGTAAATTTGCAAAAAGAGACCAAGGAGGAAAACAGGTAGAGATAGTTAACCCGATGTTAAGTATATCCGAATAATCAGAAATCATAATTTCAGACTGACGCTTAATTTATAAAAATCATTGCAGAGTTTCAAGATTTAATATAAACTTTGTAGTTTCATATTATTACTATACATATATCTCTCTTGCAGTTTGGTAACTGAGCGAAGAAAATTTCTAAAAGGCATTTCCTATGAAAATTCCTAAAGAATGTTGTATGTTTTAAATCTACTTAACAATCCAGAGAAACGAGCAACAAGTGTGCGAAAATCGAAGGCAGAAATATAAGTAATTTTTTTTACCAGTGCGAATTAATTACGATTGATTGTGTATTTTCCTTTTATCTCACTAATTTAATTCAAGGTTTTGTTGTACTAAAATACCTTATAAATAGTAGAACATATTTAACATAATTGAGGCGGAGCCTTTACGAATAATCCATGTGAATTATTTTCAGCCTTTAAGAATAGACTGATTGTTACTGGTGCTCTTCTGTGCAGTTCTCTGTAACTGTAATACACAAAAATTGGCGCGTATTCACTTTAATTAATTTTTAAGTTATCAAATCTAATGCTGTTTACTTTAAATGTTAAAAAAATGAGCGAACATTATTACGTTGAGATAAGGTGTTTTTCCAACAAGACAATGCAGCTCATTCTCCATGGCAGCGGTTCTTAACCTTTTGACTAATGCTTACCATCTAAACAAAAATTGAAAAATTCAGTACCACCACTATATTTTAAGATTATTTTTCAATTCCTCGTTATAAATATTTAAAAAAATATAAATTTTTCTATTTGCACAACATCGATTTGCATTAAATACGTTTACATAAAAAATATCAGATTAAAAATTGGTTACCATTTTAATTCTCAAAATATAAGTTATAATATTTTAATTCTAAAATTTAATGCGAAATGTGGGTGGGCCTGTTTACGAGAGATCAATTTCTTTCTGTCTGGTCTTATTTCATTTAGTTTTAACCGCAAATTAGGATCCACTTTTAATTTTGTCCGGCATTTATATTTCAAATATAACATGGAAGAAAATACTTGTTCATACAAATACGTTGTGCAAAAAGGCAATCAAAATTTAATAGCATTATTTGAAATGGCTTTAAAGTCTTTTTTTCGTTTCAGCCAAAAGTTTAGAAGTGTGTTATTTTTGAAATCTTCAATTAGAGTTGGATAACAGGAAATTTCTATTAATTGTTCTTTTTCTTCACGAGATAAACTTTGAGGTACATTTGAATAAAATGGATTTCTAATCCAATTTTCTTTTTCGTAATCCTCCGGAAAATACATGTTGAAATTATTTATCAATAAAAACGATGATATAATCTAGGATGCTAATTCTTCTTTTATTTTCAAATTATTTTCGGTAATAAAACTTTCTAAAGGTGACAATAAGCTTAAAATATTATTATCCAATTCTTTGATTATTAGCTCGAGTTTTTTTTATTGCATTTGTTGTTGTATCTCTAACGGTTAAAAAGCTAACTATTTTCCCTTGTAATCTTAAATTTAATTCGTTTAACTTTCCAAAAATATCAACTAAATATGTTGAACGCGCGAACCATAATTCGCTAAATAAACATTTTTGTAATTCAAATTTTGAATCACAGAGGAAAATTTGAATTTCTGATCGAAGTTCAAAATGACGATTTAAAACTTTGCTTATGGATAATCACCTTACTTTAGAACGTAATAAAAGCGTTTATGTTCTCTGCCCATATCGTGGCAGGAAATCATAAATATTTTTGAATTTAAAGCGTGGCTTTTAATAAAATTAACAATTTTCACAGTTTGATTCAAAAAGATTTTCAGGTTTTCGGGGCGGGTGGTTTGGTTGCTAAAGCTTTACGATGAATGGAGTTGTGCGTAAATTTAGTTTCAGGTACGACTTTATTCATTTGACAAATAACACCGGAATGTTTTCTTGTTAAAGTCCGAACTCCATTACTGCATACGGCAACGCACGTATCTAAGTAATATCATTCTCAGGGATAAAATTGTAAATTTGAAAATTTCACTTGCAGTTGCTATATCACGAACAGATTCACAAAATAAATACTCATTGGCACTTTGTTTATCTTCTACAAAATTGGTAGGTAATTGATATATAATACTTTTTACTTGTTTATATTTATTTACATTTTTTAAGAAACAGATAATTTTTCAAGGTGTTATGCAGCAGCTTGAAGGTTTCAGCTTACTAAGCTATACTCATGATAATAAATTTGTACGAAAATTTTTCAATATTCATAAATGTTAAGTCCATCCAGCCTGCTTTATATCTTGTGATAATATCGTTGTAATTTCCTTTCTTAATTATTTTCGTGATTCTTTGGGAAAAATTCGCCAGGCTTCCTTGTATAAAAATAAAAAATGGCAATTTTTACTACAGAAAATATATGTATGATGATTGTTCCAAACTTCAGTTTAAAAAGTGTAAAACAAAATCAAATTCTTGGTATTAATGTAATATCAGTTCTGGAAATATGTACTGAAAAATAAAATAGCATTCCAAAAGTAAGATAAATATAATTGAGAAGGTTTGAAGGAAAGAAATTTTTTTATGTTTTATATTCCGGATTCAATTGTTAAACAATAAGATGTTTTTGTGCATTAGAAAAAAATAGCATAATTAAAAATAACAGTTGTCATATCAAGTTGCTGCCCTGATCTATTGATAAAAGAAAAAAAGAAATCAGCTATGAAATAATTTCCATAAAAGGGAAAGGTACAGGCGGACAGGAATTAGGATCGTTAACAAAAATTGAAAATTTTTATAAATGTGAAATGCCTCTAAAAAATCTAATTCGCCAGCGGAAAATCTTTTTTGAATAATTTTGACGCAGAAAAATGGAAAATGTAATTTTCGGACGAGTTCCCTTTCGTCATTTGCTCTTCTGCAGCTGAACAAGAAAGTTCTGTATTTAAATCTATGAACTAGTCCTGTAAACTTATGAATATTACGCTGATACTTTTTGTCATAACACATCTACTAACAGTTACTGTATAAAAAATTCTGCATCTGAAGTCTAGAATGAAACGATTGATTACATTTGCTTACTAACAAAAACAATATTTATGCTTTTTTATTAAAATAATTAAATATTTTTATGGAAATATACCAACTGGACCGAATAAAATTATTCTAACTGGACTTACTGTTGTATATATTTTCTTTGTCATCGTAATCATTTCACGCAGCTGGATGCGTAACTGGTGAATTTTGAAATTAAATTGTGAACAGTAGATTTGCGTACATGTACAATTTCACGTATTTTCTGTCGTAATTTGTCTAATTCCCATAAAAAATAATGTTTCCTCATGTCAAAAGAAATAACAGAATGTTTTGTACATCTTTTAACGCTCTCTGTTTATAATGTGTCCTTTACAATTTTAAATATTATTTTTCACAAATTTAAAATTCTTTGTTCCAGGAGTTTTACAAAGACGTCTTTTGGAATCTGTTTTTTATCTCAATATCCCAATACTGTTTTCACCTTAATTTCGTATTTAAATTAAAGGCATTGTTGCGTGATTACGAGTTCATAACAGTTTGAATGCACAGATCCGATAATTGGTTAATACAATTTATTCTTATAAAAAGAAGTTATAAGGTACTTCTCTCGCCTTCTTAGCGTGCCTTCGTAGTGTAGTGGTCTACACGCTGGGCGCGTATTCCAGAGGCCCGTGGTTCGATTCCCGGCTAAGGCGTTGCTCATTCTTCACATTTCCTGCTTCCCAAATACTTAATGTCTCTACAGACAGACAGAAAGAAGTACAGGAGGCACCAAAACATCGCCATGGGCAAAACTGGTTTCGCCCCACTGCACTAACCATCTATAGAAGTGTACCCTGACCGGGCACGTTAACACTATGCTCGGAAATTAGTTTACATTGCAGCATTC